GAGCAAATTTTCTATTCTATACATAATTGAAGTTTTCATTAAAGCTTAATACCTGGTCAATGACACAAACTTCATATCACCAGCTTGTTTTGGTTTTATGTGTTTATTTTAAGTTACTTGATGCCTGAACGTTTAATAGTGATGTGTCTTCATTGTGGATTTGGTAATATATAGTTATAAAGTAACTAAGATTATCACTTTACCCTGGATGTTAGCTTTTGTGGTGTTCAATGGTGAGCTTTGGGTGTCAGGGAATTTATAAAGTGTGAAAATTTAGGAGAAATTAAGCTTTCACTTTTCACATCATTTTCTTAATAACTCTTTGCCTTTCTTTTCCTTGCATTCTGTGAAGTTACTCAAGCACAGACTTTATTCAGCTCTTTTTTCACTTCCTAAAGATAATTTAGGATGTGACCATTATATATTTCCTTAATTTTATTACCTAGTCCAGACAGGCCCTCTTTTAAATCTACTGTTGTTTTGAATCATTTGTTTTAGTAGCTCTGGGTTGTCTTAAATTTTTTGAGAGTGTCAAGAATGCTTTTCCCTGTCCAAATAGTTATACTGTTTCTAGGAGAAATTCTCCTTCTAGTGTGTGATCTTCACCTAACTTGTATTTCTTAGACACCTCTCCTTTTCTTGTTTGTCTTTGTCTTTTGTCATGTTTTTGTATTACAGATGTTGAAATGTGTAATGCCTAGATCCGGTGTTGAGTATTTATTACACACCATCATGTTTGGGTGTAGACAGTGATCTAGGCTTGTCTTTTCCCAAATACACCAGGGTTGTTTCTCCTTTTCTTTCTTTTTTCCCCTGGGTGCTGTTTTAGGTGTATATTTAGAATGTGAGCTGGAGGAATAAATAGTAGTAATTTTATATTTGTGACTGTCCCTCAAGCCCAGAGTGGGAAAGTTCAGTGGACATCTGGAAGGTTCACTCAAATACAGTCTTTCCAATCTCTTTCTCCTAATAACAGATATCTCTGCCCTGGAACCGTGTCCAGGTCAACTTGGCATTCAGCCCCGCCACTCACTTATGCCTCTGGCAAATCTTCCAGCCAGGGAGCTGTCTTCCGAATGGATTACGTCTCCAGTGGGGTATTTAATTTCCATGACCTGCTACATTTTATACCTTGTTTCTCCAAGATGAGTCATGTATAGGATGGTGCTTGCAGAAGATGGTTTCACTCTCTCTCTTCATGTGGTTTTGTTAAGTCTCAACATATCAGCACATGATGTGTGGAATATGGGATTAGACTTACGGTTATCCCATAGTTTTAGGACTGCTCCTGTTGAGAATAACATTCCCTTTCTAATTTCTGCTCTTTGTGTTCAAGCTATTAGTTTTAAAGAGAGAAGTTGTGGAAATACTGCACTCACTGTCAATATTTACATCTTAAAAATGTTTCTTTAGAACTTATTTCAAACCTTTCATGCTTAGTAATGTATGATGTTCTTAATGAAGAATGAGGATACTCTGCTTGCTCGGAAAAATTGCTGTTATTAAATGGGTCCAAGCTCGGTGTTATCTGTAAGTGGAATTAATTACTGTCTATGAACTCTGCAGTGCACCTTGGGGGTGGCCTGGACCCTGCTGCTGTTCTCTGTGAGTCCACTCATGGACATATCCTGTGAAGTTGTCACAGGCTCAGAACGATCCTAAGGGGAACTCAGAGAATAATAGTTCACCATGAAAATAAAAGGCCGTGGTTTGGGGACTCACAAACAATGTGCAGGGGACACTTTGCAGGGCTCTGACATGCAGTGACAAATAGAGAAGTAATAATGGTTAATGCTGCACAGTATTTACTTGAAAATAGTGAATTTGAAAAGGAAACATTTCTCTTTACAATAGACATGCATTGCCTTAGTGATAGACCTAAAATATATGAAGCTTCCTAGTGGGAAAGAATGAGAGAAAAAGGACAAAATCATAATGAGAATATTGCAGAGTGTTTCATTTTGTAATGACAAGATGGGGGTGGAGTTCACCAAAACCAGGCAGAGGGCCACGTGTGGCCATGACCCATAGTTACCACATGACAGCGGCCCCCTCACTTCTACACTTTCAATGAAGCCGAGTTCAAATAGAAGCTGAATCACAGATGTCTGAGCCAAGCCCGTTTGGAGGAAGATGGGTAGGGCCTCCTCAAGCATTCATATGGTAATGATGTCTATGGTCTACTAGATGACTAGAGATGTGCGTGTCTCTAGGGAAAGTGAAAGAGGCGTAAAATGAGGGGTGTAATACGGTGGATTGCTGAGTTTATTTTGAGAGGCCACTGTGCGGGAACACTCTCAGGGCTGGGGCTGCAAATTCACATCATATATGACCCCTGGCCTCATGAATCTCACAATGTACCTGTGGATAGAGACACATACACAACTTAGTCAAATAAAAAAACAAGAATCCTTTGGCAAGTTTCCCATGTAACTAAGAACAAAGGCTTGAGAGGGAATGATAGTGAAGACCTCTTTTTACTGAGGGAAGTTTCGTCAGTAAGTGTAGGGATAAAGGAAGGACTGGCCTCTTCATAATGAAGCCATAATTACTAGCTTCCTGAGTAGTATCATTTCTTAAATCAGAGAGAATGCTGTCACTGGAAATAAAACATTCCTTTAATTACTTCTCCACAAACAGGAACTACATTTTGCATCCACATTTGGAGTTGATCACTAAAATGTAAATGCTTCCAGGAAAAAAAATCTAAAATCATTTGGATACCATTTCATTTCCTAAAAATTGATTTGGGAGCATGGAAGATGCTGGGTCTCTTAAAAAAGGAACAAACAAAAATAAAACAAACAAACTTGAGGGAAGGAAGGAGAAAGAGTACAGAATTAAGTGGAGTGGGGGTCAGCCATAAGGAATAGATTCAAGCGTTGCTTAAACACTTACTAAGCACGTAGGTGCCTTTGACTGGGTCACATAAGCTCTCAGGCGTTGATTTTTAATTAATGCCAATCAAATCTGGTATATTGAAAAAATGTAAACTTATCACTAATTTCTACCATTTTTGCGTCATGAAAAATGGTTTATTCCCCTTTGATTGAAAAGTGCTTGAATAAAACCTCAGGGTTTTTTTCTCTAGTTGGAATTAGCTGAGTTTCCCCCTTTTCTGTAAACAGGAAGATGTAGTATAAAGAGGTAAACTTCATTGGATGGAAATGATGGTCTGATTCATTTCCTACAACAGATGATGGTGCCTTTTTTTCCACCCCTTTATTGAGGCGTAACTAATGTACAAAGAAACTGCACAATCTATTTCACGTGTACAATCTGATGAGTCTGGACATGTGCCTGTGCCCATGATGCCATCACCACAATCAAGGTAATCATTCTATCCATCACCTCCAAAACTTTCCTTGTGTCCTTTTCCTGTGTGTGTGTGTGTGTGTGTGTCTGTGTGTATGTCTGTGTGGGGGGGAAGTACACTTACCATGATTTAGCCTTTTAACAAATTTAAGTTAAATATATTTAAATAGACAATATGTTGGACAACAGCTCTCTAGAACTGATTCATCTTAACAGCTGCAATTTAAAACCATGGACAACTCTCCATTTCCCCTCCTCCCATCGTGTACCACCACCGTTCTATTCTCTGCCTCTATGAGTCTGACTGTTTTACATACCTCATATAAGAGGAGTATTTGTCCTTCTATGTCTGGCTTATTTCACTTAGAATAATGCCCTCAATTTCCATCCATTTTGTTGCATAATGCAGGATACATTTCTTTTTTAAGACCAAATAATATTCCATTAATATTCTAACAATACTCCATTAATTAAGGCTTAATAATATGCTCATCTTCTCTATTAACTCATCCATAGATGGACACTTAGAATGGCTATCATAATAATGCTGCGATTAACACTGGAATGAAGAGATCTCATCGAGATTCTGATTTCAATTCTTTTGGATTTATGTCCAGAAGTGGGATCGCTGGATCATATGATAGTTCTATTTCAATTTTTGCACAATGTTGATTCTGTTTTCCATGGTGGCTGCACCATTTTACATTCCCACCAATGCTGCACAAGGGTTCTAATTTCTCCACAACCTCGCCAACCCTTGTTGTCTTTTATTTTTTCATAACTGCCGTCCGAACAAGTGTTAGGTGATATCTCGTGGTGGTTTGATTTGCATTTCCCTGATGATTACTGATGTTGAGGACCTTTTTGCGTACCTCTTGGACTTTTGTATGTTTTGTTTAGAGAAATGTCTATTCAAGTGCCAACTTTTTAATCATGTTTTCTGGGGTTTTTTGCTGTTGAGTTATTTGAGTTCCTAATATATTTTGGATACTAACCTCTTGTCAGATATATGATTTGCAAGTATTTTATCCCATTCCCTGGATTTTTGCTTTTGTTGCCTGTGGTTTCGGTGTCAGGTCCATAAAATCATAGCCAAGACCAATAGCATGGAGATTTCCTCCAAGTTTCCTCTAGGAGTTTTAGTTTCAGATCTTACATTTAAGTCCTTAATCCACTTTGCGTTGATGTATGTGTATGGTGACAGCTAGAGGTCCAATTTCATTCTTTTGCACAGCAGTTTTCACTTTCCCCACACTGTTTATCGAGGAGACAATCCTTTCCCTACTGTGTACGCCGGGTGCCTTTGTGGAAGATCAGTTGGCTGTATATGAGTGGGTTTATCACTGGGCCCTCTATTCTGCTCCATTGCTCTATATGTCTACTTTATGCCAATAGCATACTCTTTTAATTACTGCAGCTTGATTATGGTGTTGTTACTATGTCTGCCCTTCCCTACCTTGGAGAGCATCAGAGGACAGCTAAGACATTAACAGGGTGTGCATTGCATTTACTTAGAATGCACACAATTGGAAAATAGACACATTTAATCACCAGTTGTAAAGACATAGGTTCTAAGCATTGAACATAGAATACTTTTGGGGGAGGTGACATTGTCATTCATTTAACCTTATGTAATATGTCATCTTTCTCAGCTATGACACAGCTTTCTGGAACATACTGGGCGCATGGGGATAGAGAGGAGTACCAATGAGAGCAAGCTGGCAGGTTTTATCCTGTTGGGGTTTTCTGATTATCCTCAGTTACAGGAGGTTCTATTTGTGGTCGTCTTCATCTTGTACCTACTAACCATTGTGGGGAACACCACCATCATTCTAGTATCTCGTCTGGAACCCAAGCTTTGTACACCAATGTATTTCTTCCTTTCTCATCTCTCCTTCCTGGACCTCTGCTTTCCCAGCAGTGTTATTCCGCAGCTTCTGGTGAACTTGTGGGATCCCATGAAAGCCATCACCTACACTGGCTGCATGGTTCAGCTCTATGTCTCCCTTGCCCTAGGATCTACTGAGTGTGTCCTCCTGGCTGTGATGTCCTACGATTGCTATGTCGCCATCTGCCGTCCCCTCCAGTACACTGCCTTAACGCATCACTGTCTCTGTGTGACCCTGGCTTCGTTGGCGTGGCTCAGTGGGGTGGCCACCACGCTCGTACAATCCACTCTCACCCTGCAGCTTCCCTTCTGTGGGCATCACCAAGTGGATCATTTCTTCTGTGAGGTCCCTGTGCTCATCAGGTTGGCTTGTGTGGACACCACTTTCAATGAGGCTGAGCTCTTTGTGGCTAGTGTCTTATTCCTTATAGTGCCTGTCTCCTTCATCTTGGTCTCCTACGGCTACATTGCTCAAGCAGTTTTGAAGATCAAGTCAGCCAGTGGAAGAAAGAAAGCATTTGGGACCTGCTCCTCCCACCTGATGGTTGTCATCATCTTCTATGGAACCATCATCTTCATGTATCTGCAGCCAGCCAAGAGTCGATCCAAGGACCAGGGGAAGTTTGTCTCCCTCTTCTACACCGTGGTCACCCCCATGCTCAACCCTCTTATCTATACTCTGAGGAACAAAGACGTTAAGGGGGCACTGAGGAAAGTTCTAGGGAAGATTCTGGGAGTAAATTTTACATGATTATCAAAAAAAATTTTTTAAGTACTCCTGTGATGAACATCTCTTATTTTATGGTAAAAAAAACACATAACATCTTTTAATAGGAGCCTATTTGGGTCATTTTCTTTTGATTAATTACTTACACAGCATTCTGTAACATATAACTTTGCCGTTACCCAGTAGTAACATAAGGTAAATCCTTTAGTTTTCTATTTTTCAATTTTTTCTCCACAATATATTATATATGCAGCATGTGAGTCTCTTTTTTAATAAACACTTTACCAGATTAAGACAAACATGAAAATATTCCAGGAACGTTTTAAAGCAGTCATCTTCCTTTTCTTTCATTTGTGAATAACACATTCATTCCATCAGCCTTGTTGTTTCTCTAGGTGGGCTTATGGCTGACTTTTTTGCAAGGATGTACCTGAAATGGATGAAATTTAGGCAAGCTGTCATGAAGCTAGTTCTTTTATTTCATCCTATGCTCTCTCCACTTAGAATGTGGTAGAGATGTGTAGAGCTGCATAAACCACATGAGGACAAAAGCCACACATTAAAGGTGGAGGATCAAGCAGGAGGAAAGAGCCTGTTTCTATTATTTTGTAGTTGAACCAATGAACCAGTTGAACTGCCTAACACTGGGGTCTGATTCCTAAGAAAAAGCACAGCTATAAAATATTCTGTGGCTTGCAAAGACATATAAATAAAAACATGTCTTAGTAGTAGTATAATCCTACATTTCTATATATAAAAACATATTTTCTTAATTTGGAAATTTATTTACCAGATGAAAGCTTAATCAAACTCATTTCATTGTTTGTGCTACAACACCGATTTGTTTCCCATGACTTCACTCTAAATGGCCTTTACCTATGACATTCCTTTTCTGGAAATGAGGAACTTTTGCATTTTTAGATTATTTTCTAATTAGTTGAATGGGAATTTTAAAACCACAATAGATCTCTCTACATTGAAAAAAATGTACTTGATAACACAAGAGTAAATGTACTTGATAGTAAAGTATAAGTGATTCTAGAGGTTACTAGCAAACCTATATTAAAATATCTCAAAAAACCCACATCTCTTTAACAAATACGTATAATTCAAATTTATCGAGTATTTGTGTTTTTACTTTTCAAGTAGATTGATTTTAGACACTGTGGAGGAATGTACTTTAAAACAAACTCTTGTGGTTTTTTCTCCGTAGTTGATGGAACACTTTCTTAAGAGCTACTTTCATTTCTTTGTTCCTCAGACAACAGGTGAGAGGATTCAAGGTGGGTGTGATGAGGGAATAAAACACAGCAGCCAGCCGCGCTTGGATGGGAAAACAGTCTGAGGTAGGTCTCAAGTACAGGGAACTCCCAGTTCCATAAAACAGTAGGACAGTGGTCAGATGAGAAGAGCATGTGGAGAAGACTTTCCAGCGGCCCTGCACCTGCTGGATCTTGGCAATAGTGGAGATGATGCGAATGTATGAGATGAGGGTGAGAACACAGGCTCCCAGGATGATGCAGCTGGTGTAGATGAAACTCAACTCTTCATTTGTGTGGTAGTCAACACAGGAGAGCCTCATGACGGGAGGAATATCACAGAAAAAGTGATCGATGACATTAGGTCCACAGAAAGGGAGGGAGAAGGTGTTGATGGCATGGAAGATGGCATAGAGAGCCCCACAAATCCAGGCAGTAGACACCAGCTCCCAGCAGAGGTTCCTGCTCATTGTGACCCCATAGACAAGGGGCCTGTAGATGGCCACACAGCAGTCACAGGCCATGGTAGTGAGCAGGAAGCACTCGGTGGCTGCCAGCATGAAAAAGAGGTAGAGCTGGACAGCACACTCTAGGAAGGACATCTCCTCAGAACCCTGGGTGGCAGTGACAATGGCCTTGGGCATAGTGACCGAGGTGTAGCACACATCCAGGAAGGACAGATTCTTGAGGAAGAAATACATGGGTGTGTGGAGGTGGCCATCCTTGGTAATCACTGTGATGACAGCAACATTCGCCAGGACCCCAAAGGCATAGGTGACCAGGAGACAGCCCGTGCAGACAGCATTCACAGAGGGGTAGTCTGAGAAACCCTTTAGGATAAATCGTGCCACTGTGCTCCCATTCGCCGTCTCAGCAACGTGGGCAGAAATGAAAAAAGAGAAGCTGTTTTCAGCTATGATGGTGTAAGGTACATGCATCATGATGGCAACTCTTGGGAACTGTAATTCTTTCCTTCAAAAATATATTTCAGGGGGCTGGCCAGGTGGCGCAAGTGGTTAAGTGCTGCGTTCCACTGCAGCAGCCCGGGGTTCGCAGGTTCCGATCCCCGGCACACACCTACGCACCGCTTGTCAAGCCATGTTGTGGCAGCGTCCCATATAAAGTGGAGGAAGATGGGCATAGATGTTAGCCCAGGGCCAATCTTCCTCAGCAAAAAGAGGAGGATTGGCAGATGTTAGCTCAGGGTCGATCTTCCTCACAAAAAAAAAAATTTTTTTTTAATATATATATATTTCAGTCACTTTTCTTGATTCTATATACATCTTTAAATAGACTCACTTATTTATGAATAGAGAAAAAAATCTAGCCCAGATGTTCACACTCAACAATGATGATTTGAAATAAATAGAACCACTAGCTCTATTTGGACTAGTATTAATAAGTTCACTCTTCAACCTTTATGATTATTTTTTCTAATTACACTCTGTCTGATACTTAAATTGCTGCAGAGGTCAGACATTGTGCAGACACAATACGGTTGGTGTCCTTTTTCATGACAACTCCTTGTTTTCATTTGTGCAAACACACCTACAATATCTCTTTCCTCTCTTCTAATTCCGTGTTATATTTTTAAGCTTCTTTCTTCACAGCCAAATAGAAAGCCTCTACTTTGGCTAGGGGTCGGCATGTGTTGATAGACGAATTCCGAATTACCCCTCAAGTTCAATTTTAAGTTCCTGAAAAATCAGTAAGTCTGTAAATTTGAACATTTATTATTTAATGTCATTTAGGCAGATGAGTGTATTTCAATAAGTTATACAGCTAAATTTTTGTAAGATGTATATGTATTTACACATACATACATACATATGTACATACACATGTACATATACATATACATACATACATACCATGAATTCTTCACTGCTCATTTATCCCTCTGGCCAAACATTCAATTAAAGAGCTATGGAATATCTTCATCTCTCTTCTCTTTCCTGTATCAGCATAGATACAAACCCCAGCTCTTTGAGATATCAGACCTAACAAGAACCTATTTTGTGATGAAAAAGGAGATAATGTCTCAGAAAACTAGGAATAGAGAGGAAATTCCTTAACTTGGTAAGGAGTATCTGCAAAAAACCTACAACTAAAATCATACTTAATGGTGAGAGTCTTGAAATTTTCCCACCAAGATCAGGAACATGGCAAGGATGTCCTATCTCACCACTGCTTTTCAACATCACACTGGAAGGCCTAGCTAATGCAATAAGACAAGAAAATGAAATATAACATATACAGATTGGGAGAGAAGAAATAAAACTGTCTTTGTTTGCTGATGACATAATCATCTACGTGGAAAATCTAAAAGAAGTGACAAAAAAATTCCTTACTAATTAAATTTCTAATAAGAGATTATAACAAGGTTACAAGATAAATGTTAATAATAACATCAATCTCTTTTTTATATACCAGAAATGAACAAGTGAATCTGAAATTAAAAACAAGTTACCATTCACATTAGCACCCCCCAAAGTGAAACACTTAGGGAGAAATCTAACAAAATATGTACAAGATCTATATGAGGAAAACTATAAAACTCTGATGAATGAAATCAAAGCACTACATAAATGGAGAGATATTTCATGTTCGTGCATAGGAAGATTCAATATTGTCAACATGTCAGTTTTTCCTAACTTGATCTACAGATTCAATGCAATCTCAATCAAAATCCAAGCAAGTTATTTTATGGGTATTGCCAGCTGATCCTAAAGTTTATTGGAAAGGCAAAAGACCCAGAACAGCCAACACAATATTGAAGGAGGATGAATAAAATTAGAGGACTGAAACTACCTAACTTCAAGACTTAATGCAAAGCTACCATAATTAAGACAGTGTGGCCAAAGAACTGGCAAATAGATCAATGGAACAGAATAGAGTACCTAGAAATAGATCCACATAAATATGGTCAATCCTTTGACAAAGGAGCAAAGACAATACAATGGAGAAAAGACAGTCTTTTCAACAAATGGTACTGGAACAATTGGACATCCCCAGGCAAAAAAATGAATCTAAACACTGACCTTACACCCTTCACAAAAATGAACTAAAAATGGATCATAGACCTAAATATAAAACACAAAACTGTAAATCTCCTAGAAGATAACATAGGAGAAAATCTAGATGACTTTCAGTTTGGCAATACCTTTATAGATATAACACCAAAGCCATGATCCACAAAACAAACAATTGACAAGCTGGACTTCACTAAAACTAAAAATGTCTGCTCTGCGAAAGACACAGTCAAGAAAATGAAAAGATGGGGACTATAGACTGAATGTCAGTGTCCCCCTAAAATTAATATGTTGAAACCTAATCCCCAATAAGATGATGTTTGGAGGTGGGGCCTTTGGAAGGTGCTGAGGTCATGAGAACACAGCCCTCATTAGTGGGATTACAGCAATTATAAAGAGACCCCTCACCAGGAAGGCAATCTGCCAGCTCCTTGATCTTGGACTTCCCAGCCTCCCAAACTGTGAGAAATAAATGTTTGTTACTTAAGCCACCCGGTCTATGGTATGTTTGTTACAGCAACCTGAATGAACTAATAAGACAACAAGCCAGATCCTGGGAGAAAACACTTGCAAAAGACACAGCTAATAAAGGCTTGCTATCCAAAATATACAAAGAACACTTAAAATTCAACAATAAGAAAACAACCTTATTATAAAATGAGCCAAGGACCTCAAAAACACGTCACCAAAGAAGATGTAGAGATGGCCAACAAGCACATGAAAAAACCCTCCACATCGTGTGTCATCAGGGAAATGCAAATATAAACGATGAGATACTACTACAAACCTATTAGAATGGCCAAAATCCAGAACATTGACAACACCAAATGCTGGTGAAGAAGTGGAGCAACAGGCATTCTCATTCATTGTTGGTGGAAATGCAAAATAGTACAGCCACTTTGGAAGACAGTTTGGTGGTTTCTTAAAAAACTAAATTCTTAGCATACAATTCAGTAATCACACTCCTTGGTATTTACCCAAAGGAGTTGAAAACTTATGTCCAAACAAAACCTGCACGCAGATGTTTATAGCAACTTCATTCATAATTGCCAAAACTTGGAGACAACCAAGGAGTTCTTCAGTAGGTGAGTGACAAACCAGGGTACATTCAGGCAATGGACTAGTATTCAGCACTAAAAAGAAATGAGCTATCAAGCCACAAAAAAACGTGGAGGAAACTTAAATGCATATTACTATGTGGAAGTCAATCTGAAAAGACTCCATACTGTATGATTGCAACTATATGACATTCTAGAAAAGGCAAATCGATGGAGACAGTAAAAAGCCCAGTAGTTGCCAGGGGTTTGGGTTGAAGTGACAGATAGGTAGAGCACAGAGGGGCTGTGAAATACGCTGTATCATATCATAATGTGAATACATGATATTATACATTTGTCTAGACCTGTAGAATATACATCAAGAGTGAACCATAGTGTAAATATGGACATTGACAGATAATAATGCTTCACTGAAGATTCATTGATTGTAACAAATGTGGTGCAGGATGTTAATAGGGGGAGGAGGCTGTGCACGATGTGGGGGCAAGGGGTAGATGGGAACTCTCTATACCTTCTTGTCAATATTGCTGTGAACCCTACTGCTCCAAAAAAATGTTTATTAAATAAATAATAAAATGGAAAAAAATTTTAAATGACAGATAATGCTTTGGCTTTTTTTTTTTTTAACTGACAATTGAGCTAAAACTCAGCACTCAGATGCCTTTATTACTTTCTAACTTCTTCTCTGCAACTTGGCTAGGGGAGGGAGTCATGATATAAACTGAGTTACACATCTAAGCACGAGTGAGCTAAAATCTGTAGGGCAACACTTGCATCTGCACCTCCAGAGTTATTCACTTGAAGCCAAAGTTGTTATTAAGCAACGCTATTGTTATTCTTTTGGGGGAAATTGTCATTACTAGTGAACTTGTGCAGCCATATTGATGGAACAATCATGTTCAGCCACAGCATCTCAGTGTCTTCCCTGCTAATTATGTCAGAGATTCTGCCATTTGCTCAACCTGAAGGTTTCTGGAACTGGGAATAATCAACTTTCAAGTTATATCTGGTCATCTTCCTTTTTACCCTGAAAATTGTTCTGAAAACTTTTATCATCGGTTTTTCTTGTCCCAGCCCTCTCCATCACCCCAAATTTGGTTCCAGATGCTCAGTGTTTTTTCCAGAACTTTAACCTGCTGTAATCTGCAGACACACCTGTTCCTAAACCATCACTCCCCACCTCTGACCATGACATCAGGAATCAGCACTCTTCCAGGAGCCATTGTCCCCTGGTGACCACATCTCGAGTCCCTTCAAATGGGACAGTATTGACGACAGGATGTTAAATGCTCATTTTGAGCCTTCACCTCAACTTCATTGCATAGTTAAACGTTGTCTCCTTCTGGAATGTCTGGCTCACTTGCCAGGTCTCATCAGAGGGTGCAGAGCTTTCGTGAGGGAGTGGGGCAGAATTCCTGTAACTATAATCTGGGCAGCATCACCATGTTCGTCCACTCAACAGACTGCACAGGTTGCATAAATTATTTTATCTTCAATTCATTCTGTGAGCTGAATAATACTGCTCCCATTTTCCAATAAGAAAATAAAAGTTCACAAAGTTTAGGAACTTCCCATAGCCAGAATAAAGTTTAATAATGTATGAAGTTTCAGTCTTGTAGGAAGAATAAATTCTACAGATCTGCTGTACAACATAGCTAACAACAGAGTATTGTGCATTTATAATTCTGTTCACTGGTAGATCTCTAATGCTCTGGACACATACACAACAAAGAGACATGAGGAATCTTTTGGAGCTGGTGGGTATGTTTATTACCTTGATTGTGGTGATAATGTCACGGGTGTTTGCATATGTCCAAATCCATCAACTTGTATACATTAAACCTGAAATTT